AGAATAAATTTTTTGTTAGGCTACATTCTTACATTTTGCAATATGAAAAACTGAGATGCCAGTTGTTACCACACTTTTTTGGGTGTATTCCATTTTCTAGAACTTTGGACAATTTGGCAATTTATTTATTTATTTTGAATATTTAATAATTTAGTCTAGTTTCTCAAGAATTAATAAATCAACACTGTTTTTCCAAGTTTCGTGTATGTTAATATTTTCGTAGCACTAAATTCATGTTTGATTGAATCACAAACACTGTCTTCAGAATTAGTTAGAGATGTCTTAAAAGTTTTTAAGCGAAAGATAATGGTACAGTCTGCACCTGCATAGAAGTTTGTCTTGATATAATCTGAATAAATCCGACTTACATAACTAAACGCTAAAGCACAAAGCGATGACCCACTTAAGTTCAACTTATATTTAATATCAACCGGTCCTATACATCACGGTGATATAAGAATAAGGAAGTTCTAGAAACTACTAGAACAAGACAAGCAAACACGATTTCGCATTTGTAATGGTCACTAGTATGATATTTGCTATAACTTTAAGAATACATATATTTTTGTTATTAACCATACCAAATACAAATCGAGAGTTGAAAGCTATTGGTTTAAGCGACCTTTTTGAAATATTGCAGGAGAGTCATTTAAAGTTTGGAAAAAATATCCAAACAATTTTTGTTTTTCAACTACTTGGATGGGACAACTTAAGTTGAGTTCAATTAACTTGAACTTTTTATGCTAATACCAAATAAAACGAACCTTTAATTACAAAGATAAATGTCGTATAGTAAGCAAAATGTTGCTTAAACAAAATAGCCATTCCGGCCTTGTAAACGTAAACCAATTCGCCTTATAATATTAGTACTGGAGTAATATTAGTGCCGGACGTCAGATTTTATGAAACACTACCTAGATGTCAACGTGAAGGTGCAGTGAAAGTCAATTATGTCAGAGACCAGTTTAACTGGGCCTTTCAGAAGACTTAGTGAGATCTTGAATAGGCCATCGTAAATAAAGCCCCAGTGCATTGAACTCTCGCAAATTTCGACTATAGTTTTACCGTATGAAACATACTTGTCAAATTACAAATATTACACGAAAATAGGACACATTTTGAGTAATTAAACAGTGTATACTCACGTGCAAAACTGTTGGTTTTTTTTTTGTAAAATGTAAAAATATTCTAACACTAATCATAAATACCATGAATCATTAAAACGATGCCTCCAATGAACACTACTCTAACTCCAGATTCGTAGGTTTACAGGAGGAGAGTTTAAACGAAAAAAGTTGATAAATATATCTGCAATAATAAAGATTTTATGGTTTTTTCTTGTGTAACTAGCTGATTTACTCTTGCTTCGAACCCCATTAATAATGAATTTGTAATACTTTTAAAATAGTGAAGCGATTTGTGTGAAAAACGAAAATTTAAAAATTTTGAGTTAGTGTTGTTCATTGGAGGCATCGATTAAAGAAATACAAGATTTTATAGTTGTAAATCCACTTGCGTTTTAAAGTTTTAAAACACGTCAAAATAATATCACACGTTTTTATGTAACATCGAATTATTGACCTTTATTTAAAGGTAAGAAAAAAAAAACTTTCTATTCATGTAGGTATATTCGTAAAACTGCATCAGGAAACGCATCCGTCACTTTCACGAGATAATGACAGAGCGATACTTGGAAAATAATTACCGGACAATTTTATCGAGTCCACTTAAAACCTCCAGCACCTGTCTATTTTTTTTTTAAGTCAATGACATAAGACTGTATTATACAATAATGGCGTCTTTAAAACCAAAATAACCAGTGAACCTGAGTCTTGTTTTTTGTTGGTGCAAAAAAAACTTACCTACAATTTGCTGTACTGAAAATGCTGTCAGAGTCCATAGATATTAAAGGTTGAAATTATAAAGTGGAATGGCAATTGGGATCATTTGGCGTTAGAGTATATTAAGATATCAATTTAAAACGAACTACAATAAGTGTTTAGTAATTTTTTAACATAATCTATCACAAATCAACAATTTTGGCTACAATAGCTCGGAATAAATTATACATACTTAGTATCGAAGTACCGGCATCTCGTTTTTACCATCGCACAACCCGCCACCGGAGTAGAGTACCTGGAGCCACTGCGGTCATCCACAGTGCGTTTCCAGAGGTCTTTTTTGCCACGTACCATCCGGCTATGGAATGAGCTCCCCTCCACGGTGTTTCCCGAGCGCTATGACATGTCCTTCTTCAAACTAGGCTTGTGGAGAGTATTAAGCGGTAGGCAGCGGCTTGGCTCTGCCCCTGGCATTGCTGAAGTCCATGGGTGACGGTAACCACTCACCATCAGGTGGGCCGTATGCTCGTCTGCCTAGACGGGCAATAAAAAAAATACAGCATTCAGCCCTCGCTCGGATTAATGTAGAAAAATTAAATGAAAATAAAATCGCTCTAGAATACATCTTCTGCCCCTGGCATTGCTGAAGTCCATGGGCAACGGTAACCACTCACCATCAGGTGGGCCGTATGCTCGTCTGCCTACAAGGGCAATAAAAATAAAATAAAAAATTGTACAAAATGGAACAAAAGGTACCTTATGTCGACCGTGTGTTCAAAATATAATGATAATCGGTTGATTAGTCAAGACGTAAGAACGTAGTAAACAAATTCGCATAATATTAATGTATAACATTTTTTTTTATTACGTCCATGCACCTTATTATTTTTATATGCCGTCAATACTGTTAGCGTATTCACGGCTAAACAAAACTGCTCAAACATTGATAAGATAATCGAAATAGCTGTTTGAGACCACATGGTGCAACCATCCATATTTGTGACGGAGCATTTCCGAAAGGATATCACAGATACCAATGGAGATTTCCACCGCTTATCTCAAATGGATCCACAGGATTTTGTATTCAAAAGTGCTATATGAACTGCTTAAAGAATTCGTTTAATAAAATAATTATCAGTCATTTTGCGATCACTTAATAAATATTCTAAAGATGATTTTAGCCATTGTTTTTGCAGACAAAAATACACTTAACAGTATCTAGGTCAATACTTACTGGTCGACTAATTCTGTGCACTCTCATTTTGGATGAAAATTCAACTGAATTGATTATGAGGAAGTGTATTTATTACGTCACAATTACGTGACTCCGACCGAGTGATTTGATACTTGTTATGTCATTTTATTTGACCCGTATGTAGGTTAAAACATTACCGTTTGTTTTTTAATAGATACGCTTTTATTAGCTTCAGACGTATGTATGTTTGTAACGGAAGCTTTGAACATGATTTTGACTCTCTTCAAAACGTCGGATTAACTCGAAATTTGGTATACTTATTAAAGACCCATGACAATTGAATATTAAAATATAAAAAAAAAATTAAAAATAATATTGAAATTCAACTAAAAAATGAAAAATATATAATAGATTTAAAAAACTAACAAAATACGCTTTTATAGAAAATCCAACTAAAAAATAGAAATAAATTTTAATAAATTTGAATTAAAAATAGTGTAAGAAAAAATGATTTTATTGTAAAAAAAGCGTGGGGTGCTTTTCAGGATATTATCAAAATAACCCTTCTACTCATATCTGTTCATAAAATATTTATAACTACTTACACCATGCACCCCATGCTTTTTTACAATAAAAAAATTTTTTCTTACACTATTAATATTTTATTTTTTTTATTACTTTGGTCGGTGGACGAGCCACAGCCCACCTGATGCTAAGTGGTTACTGGAGCCCATAGACATCTACAACGTAAATGCGCCACCCACCTTGAGATATAAGTTCTAAGTTCTCAAGTATAGTTACAACGGCTGCCCCACCCTTCAAACCGAAACGCATTACTGCTTCACGGTAGAAATAGGCAGGGTGGTGGTACCTGACCGCGCGGACTCACAAGAGGTCCTACCACCAATGTAGTTTTAATAAAGACAAACAGCATTTAATCTATTCTCAATTTGACCACAGACTATATATAAGCAATAAGAAAAGTTAAAAGGGGTACACCGTTTTTACTTCACGTATTAATAATGTAGATATTTAAGTGGCGTGTAATATATTATGTGAATCCTTATCTACCCTTACGCTGCTTCTTGAAGGCCACAAGTGGCTTTTTAAATGAGGACATCGATCTCATTTCTCACGGTTGGTCTCAACTTTATCTTTGGGTTGGCAGCGTGTTAGTACCAGATAGACCGTCAGAAACAAAGTGGCGTTTAAAAAACAGATGCAATTGATCAAATACATACTATTTAAACTACATAATATATAATAACATACACATAACATTATACTGGTTACTGGTGGCAGGACCTCTTATTATTATTATTAAAGCCCACAATTTTTACGTACAAATCCTTTTTAAAAGGGACCTGTTAGGCAGCGTATCTTGCTTGTAAAAGAAAAAAGAAGTAATATGGTCCACACGGGTAGGTACCACTACCCTCCCTATTTCTGCCGTGAAGCAGTAATGCGTTTCGGTTAGAAGGGCGGAGCTGCCGTTCTAACTATACTGAGACCTTAGAACTTATATCTCAAGGTGGTTGGCGCATTCACGTTGTAGATGTCTATGGGCTTCAGTAACCACTTAACACCAGGTAGGCTGTGAGCTTGTCCACCCATCTAAGAAACAAAAAAAAAACATAATAACATACTATAATAATAATAATAATACATGGACACTCAACGCAAGCGAAACTATTGTTAATTCAAATAATTCAATCTAAATATATTCCATTGTTCAATTACATTTTAGGACGATCGAGAAAAAGAGCATTGCAAATGGGAATGCCAATGTACGTTCATTACATAGGTACTGTGTTTTCCTCATACAAACCGCTGTATCCACTTGTAGTCATAGACCTTGCACAAATGACGTAATATAGCATCGCCATAACATATTAGTATTGTAGTTGGTAATTAATTACGTAATTAGTAGTAATGACGTAACTGTGACTGACTTTCCGAGACAGGGCGAGGTAAACTGAACGGCGTGCACGCCGGACTTGTGATACTGACGCCTCTTGGAGACGGATCGCCCGGAGAGACGCTCGACACGGCGCACTCTGGCCACACGCCGCTAGAACCTCCCCAGTCTATCCTCCACACAGTCTACAACGCTGTTAAAAGCGCTTTTTCAACCGCCCCCTCTCAATCAGAGCCTCTCCCACATCAAGCCCCTCCACCGCTCCAAACTGTTCCCGCTTTCAAACCGATGTCATGGGGTAACGTCAATTCTTACGGCGAGCCCGCCACGGCTGAAGGCTATACAGACTATGTGCCGCACAATCCCCAGTCTCCATACGACTACGCTGCAGCTAAGCATTCCGTCGTTTCAGAGCCTAAAGGTCTGACGCCAGAGAAAATCCAGAAAATAAACAACAACCTGAGCAAAGTCCAGGCGTATTTAAATCAGAAAAAGAGATCGTTGGAGGAGGGGCCGAGCTTTAACGGCCTTGAAAAGTACAAGGATCTGTTGAAAACGGGCCAGGTGCCTTTCCTGCCAACTCCTGTAGTATTTGACAATGAGATCGGTGTGCTGCCGGCCGAATTACTCCCTGATTCCGTTACCACCACATCCACTACTTCCACCACTAGCACAACGCCAAGTACCACGACCGTAGCCCAGAGTACGTCAGCGAACAGAAGAAAGGACGTGAAGTACATCCTTCGTGGCAACAGGATCGTCCAAGTTTGACACGACTCATTGACTTGACTGAGGTATGTGATGACTATTTGAGACACGACTAATGACTTTGACTGACTTAAGTGCCTTGAAGTATTAAAATGTTTTAGATCAAACGTAGTGCCTAGTATTTCTCAAAAATACGTAGATTTTGTTGTTTAATTACAGTAGTATTGGAATAGCTTTTAATTTCTGAGAATCACAGCCAGCATCTGGATACAGTATTATAAAAGCTAATTCGATGCACAGCGATCCAATATTCAGATACTTTAAGTTCGTCTTTTAAGAAATCTACTAATCAGTCACGTGCTTGATTTTCCAATGACATTTTTTTATCATTTAAACAAACGGGCTAAGTGTGAGTACGGTTTTAAGTATGTAAATCAATAAGGTGGGTTCAAATTTTATATTTAGAAGCAGACTGTTAATGTAGATATCGATTATATTAAAACGCTAACCGCAAGTTTGCACTAGCGTGGTCTTGTGGCAACTTCATGTCATCGGAATTCATGTGCCATCAATTTAACATACCGTATGTTCCACGGGGAGTGCTCTAAGGAAATATTCGAGACGAGTCCTCCGTCTTCTTTTTACCATCACACCTTCCGCCTCTGGCGTAGTTTTTCCATAATTTATGTAACCAAGTAACCACTGCATTAATCGATAGTGCGTTTCCAGAGATCTTTATCGCCACGTACCTTCCAGCTCTGGAATGATCTCCCCTCCACGACTTTTCCGGCTACTATGACATATCCTTCTTCAAACGTGGCCGCTAAGAAAATTCGGCGGTAGGCAGCGACTTGTCTGTGTCTCTAGCATTACTGACAAGTCACAGCTATCAATGACCATTACATGAGCCGTATGCTGTCAAAATTGATCCTTCTAGATACTGCCAGATACATTGTGACGAAATTCGCATTGTAGCGGCATATTTGGCTTCAAAATACAAAGTCGGAAATCATGTTTTGATGGAAAAGCTTTTCGATTTCGAAACTAAGAGATAGCTGGTATCTAAATATAGAGATCTCCACAACAACTGTATTAGTTAACGAATTTAATGATAGATAAATCACATAATTCAAGTAATAAAAAAAAAGAACACAATATTCCTAACCTAAAAGTACATGTTATTATCCGCAACATGATTCGTCAAAACGAATAGAAACAGTATGACGTTGTACGTAATGTATGTTTTTGATTGTGTTCACAGAAGTACCAGCCCAACCGGTCGTGGTAGGCGGCGAGGAGTTGCAGCACTACTACCATTTTTAAGTTTAAATTATTTATTGTTCTAATGTCGCGTTTGGATGTCGGACGAATTACGTTCAGTATTTGTATAATTGAAATGTTTTATTACAAATTAATTTTTTTTTTACTTGGTAATTGTAATGAACAGATCGGCCACTAAACTTAATGAGTAATAAGATATTAATATAATACAATATAATAATACAAGTTTCGTAGATACGTAAGCTGCTGCAATTTTTATTATTAATGAAAGTTCCACCGTAAAACTTTAATTGTGATTTAACACAAAAGGCAAAATATGTATAAAAATATGTTTTTATTCTTATATTTTCGTGGTTTGTACTCCAAACGCGATCTTTAATTATTAAGTATTCATAATATTTCTTTTCTTAAAAACGGAACACTATAAACCAAACAAAAAATTAATTATAGCTTGGACTCGATGCTCAACTATAAAATACATATGCTGATATTAACAAAAATATTGAAAAAAATTCTGATGTGTGCATACAGTAAATATTCATTTAAAAAACTTTACAATAATACCAGCTGTACCCACCCGTCCGTTTCGCTGGGCATTTAAAATTAACATTATTATTTCTCACCCCCACAAAGATTCTCATCATTAACGCCCCTGCAACTGGTGTGAGGAGTCCAACACTCATATAAATATTAGCCTATCCATTAAGTACATATATTTTCTACACGGATACCAAGTTTCAAAGCAATCGGATGCATGGTTCAGTAGTTATAAAGGAACATCCGTAAAAACCACTGTAGATTTATATATTAGTATAGATTTACAAGAAGGTTCTGAATTACTAATACAACGCAAGAATGAAACACAATGCATTTTTCCAAAATGAAGAGTTTCTTAAGTCGCTCTCTGGTCTATAAACTAATCAGCCTCTTGAACTGGTAGACCCATGTCGTATTCGATATAACAGATATAATAAAAATATTATATGTAATCCAACTTATGATTCTTTCTGTTATTTTTTATCGAAGTCGGCTTACTCAATTTTGCGTAATTCAATATATCATACAATCAATGAAACTTTCATATTTACCATACTAATAAAGTGTAGATCTAAAGGTCATAAAACCTTTTAAAGTATTCTAGCAAAATGACGAACTCCTAAATTGTTATAACTTGAGTTCTATTCTCAAAAACCTAGCCAATAACATTAACAGAATATGTTTGTAACGCTATTGAATACACACTGGCATTCACCTCGGTCATCGACATCGTCAATTCGTTGCTGAGGCGTCTCTGTTTGAGGAAGATCATAATTGACCACCGCCCAGTACTCGTGCTTACCTGTACCACGGGTCCAACTAGTGTCTGTTCTGACTCGTATGTGCCTTCAATAGATAAAACCAATTTAAGGGGCGGTGAAGTGGTTATCGAAAAGAATGACCATAAGAATTCATAGTCATAAACGCAGTCTTCTTCAAAGAAGCTTTGAGATATTCTTAAGCGGTAGATAGCGGAGACAGCAATGTCTATGGAATCACTGGTGCTCATGAAGTGATAACTTACCAATAGGAGTACACTCCTCTGAAGCAATCATGGTTGAAGCGAGCAGAGAGTACAGAAGCGTTTGGATTAAGATGGAAATGTTTCTTTATACTCAACCACGTTGTGAACTCAGTCATGGTTATTATCGATTTTATAGATTATCAACTTTGACAAAAAGTAAAAAAAAAAGTGTAGTAGGTATCCGTAAAAATGCTTTTATGCCTGAGGCACACATGTTAACTCTATTTGTAAAGTCTGGTCCTTAGCGGCAGCGATTCTGTTTAAAAAGGCTCTTAAATTACGTACTAATAGAGTGTCATCATTTTCGTCAGTATTGCTAATTAAAATTACTTTTACAATTCAATATCGCATTTATTATTTTATTTTCCGGTTTATTAGTCCGTGATGATCACGAAAACCGTAAACTATCCGAAACATCGGAAATAGTAAATTAATGATAATAAATGCGAGATTAAACTGTAAAAGTAGTTTTAATTCTAATATGAAATATTTTAAAGTTTCAATTCACATTGGTCAATTAAAAAAAAACATAGACCTTTTTCCACACTGTACGAATTTACAAATAACTTTTTAACAAGCTGTATCCGTTTAATGTAAATAAATCAACGATTTTTTTTCAAATGTCTTAATTAATTTAAATTATTTAAAATCTTAATTGAAATATGAAGTACTTTGTAATTAGAGTAATATTGTAAATAATGCTCGGCCTGTATTTAAATCTCTTCTATGTTTGGTTTTTCTATTTTTGTAAATAAATTATGAGAGAATTGTGTTTTTTATTATTTTACTCCTTACAATTGCGACTCGTCCGTGGCCACGAAATCTGTAAAGTTTTCAAAAAGTCGTAAAAATATTAATGAGAACGAAACATATCATGTGAGAGTTTAATTAAAGCTACTTTTACAATAAACGGTAAAATAACTTTTAATTACGTTCACAACTCGCAAATATCGAAGAATATACAAGAACAAGGACATGTTATATATGTTGATATATGAAATGTCCTTGGCGTTGAGTGGCTATCAATCCCATGTAGTGAGAATGCCTTATCACTCATCTGAGTTAATCTTAAGATTGAAGCATGAAGATGCATAGTATATGTACTATCAGGCAGTGCCCTGTAAAGTATGAACTTTTAATTAACGCCATCTGATAATTTCGAGTGTTATTAGTGGAGAGGTATCTATTTATTTGCATTTATAGGCAGCGTAAGACTCTGCCATTGGTAAGTAGTTACTGATCCTCGTGGATATCACCGATTCTAGGGGCACAACCAAGCCTTGCCTATTTCTGGTGACTCTCCAAACCAAGTTTGAAGAAGGACATGTTGTGACGCCCGATAAAAACCGTGGTGAGAATTTCCAAAATATTTGAATATTATGTGTATATTTTTTTGTGTGAAATACGGTATGTGTAAGACGGGAGTGAGCGAAGAAACAGTATGTGATAGAGGAGTATGGAAGGAGAAAACATGTTGCGCCGACCCCAGGTTGCCCCAGGGAGAAGAGCAGGAGAATGATAAAGTATATATTTTAGTAGAGGTAGATATACAATTTACCGATTTAGAAGTAAGCACAACCTAGTTATATTCAGAATTAATACCTACGGATGCAATGAAGAAAACCAGCATCCTAATCTACACACCATCACACGATACATCATCCAACCAACATCACAACACCGTCTAATATATTATAAATAAAATTACTTTTAAAGTGCGATGATTACATAGCTGCTTTGACTAGTCTTTACCTTTAATTTGGCATAGCGCCTGCGAATAAAATCAAAGCACACAGTATGAAAATTGGATTTGCCTAAAGTATTACTAAGGCTACTGATGATAGTTTATTCCCGCCAAGTATCAAGCTGAGAACGAGATTTTAGATGATATAATTGTTTCATTTACGATCCTTAATCATGTGCAGAATCCTTGTCGGAAAGTCAGTTTTGCGACAATTTCTCTACGAAGAGCATTAGGTACATGGGCGTATCGTCCTGTTTCATTTGCAACAATGATGTGTTATGGTAATACACATTGATGGGATAACTTTTGGTATCTATAGAAGAAAGGCATAAAGATAACACAACGTTGAATACCTAAATGCAAGTGGTGGTACCAATGGTGGTTTTTTAGCACCCTGTATAGATAAATACCGGTCAAGTCGACAAAAGCGTGTTACAATGAATAATTCTCACTGAGGCCTTCGTGCACATATACTAG